CATTCCATTCCCCTGGATCAATGTTGCTGTTGGCCACTATTTATTTATTTAACTCAATTTAGGCATTGCCCAATTCCAAATCATCCATGGACAGTTCACAATAAAAATAAAAGCACAAGATGGAACAAGATGTGATCCAATCAGTCCATACAAGACATAAAGAGTTCTATCCATCTCAACCCAGCCTGAAAGAACAACCAGGTCTTCAGTGCTTTGCAGAATTTGATCAGGATGGAGCTAAGAGGGAATCTCGTTGGGAGACCCCCCCCCATGGTAAAAAGGCACATTTTTGGGTCCCCATAGATGGCACTGTTTGATTAAAAAGTCCTGCAGCATACTAACTCTTCTGGCATGTACAGGCCATCAGAAACCGTGGGAGATAGGCAGTCCTTCAGAAAACCTAACCCTAGGCTATGTAGGGCTTTATAGGTAACGACCAGCATTGATTAAATTAATATATAAAACTAAAATCTTTGTAACATCTTGAGAAATGGTCATACATCACTACAAAACTCTAAACTGTAAAATTTATGTTGATATCACCACAATTTATCACTATCTAAAATAAATAGACATGATCCTTTGAAAAGAAAAATAAATACTTCAAAACAGTCAGTAAAAACAGAGGTAGGATTCAGAATTTTTAGCAGCTGGTCCTCTGCCCAGTTGCTGGGTAGGTGCGGCCATGGTGGGTGTGGCCTACTCAGCCTCATGCACCATGGGGGGGAAGTGGTTTAATTCTCCCCAGACTCTGGAGGTTTTTCTCAAGCCTCCGGGAGGACAAAAATGGCCTCCCCTGGGCTCTGGAGGCCAGAAATGGGCCTATTTTTGGACTTCCGGTAGGCCCGTTTTCTGCCCTCCTAGAGCCTCAGCGCAGGCCCTGAACTTACCTGGCATCCAAAACGGGCTGCATGGAGACTCCTGGGAGAAGCGGGGTGGGTGGGGCAGGGTCAGCCAGTCCTTGCAACAACCGGTTTGGCAAACCTGATTAAAATTGACATCCAATTCACCCAAACCGGTCTGAATTGGCTGAATCCCACCCCTGAGTAAAAACAGTAATCAGTCCATATCAATAGAAGGAAATGTAGAACTCCTTCAATACTTTTAAACCAGATTTCCTTACCAGAGCTTCTGGCAGGACAGAATTATATGAATTGTGTCAAAAGTTGCCATTTTAAGAATATAGAATCCTACTGATTATTCCAGGAAGTACTGATAACTCCTGAGCACTTGCTTAATACTATCACTAGATTCACTACCCTCTTTCCTTTTGACTGGACGGAAAATTTGAGGCATCACTTGACCACTGCAAGCACTTCTGAGAAGATGTGTCCTACACTGCATGGCTCTAGCAGCGCAATAGAAAAAATTGCTTTTTCAAGCTTCTTCTCCAGCTTTTTTTCCTTCAGAACTAAGTAAAAAAAATGGAGTAACTGATTGGGTTGTTTTTATCCCAATCGGTTGACTAGGTTAAGTTAATTTAACCTTGTGCATGAGTGGAGTTAAATCCAATTCCTTGAAATTAATTAACTCTGATAGCCTTTTTGGTTCTGCTAAGTCTTTTGTGGAAGTGAAGCCTTTTTGTAGCTGAAATCACTAAACTGGATGGAAAATTAATGAAGTCAAGATTCTTACTTCCAGGGCAGACAGCCTGCTCTAGGAGTGAGGACCTTTTGATCTTCAGATACTTGGGGTTACAATTTCCAACAATTTCAATTTTCATGCTTACAATTAAATGGAAGTTAGAGCTGTAATTCAGACCACACCTTGAGGACTGGATATTCTTCATCCTTGGTTATTGCATAGATAGGGCCATAACAGAGCTAGTATGGAGAATTGTGAATAGGAACTGTGAATAGGAATATTTGGATCATGACTTCGAGACCGCCTTCTACCGCATAACTCCCAATAACCGGTAAGATCCCACAGAGTTGGTCTCCTCCGGGTCCCATCAGCTAAAGAATACCGGCTGGTGGGCCCGCGTGGGAAGGCCTTCTCTGTGGCTGCCCCAGCTCTCTGGAACCAGTTACCTCGTGAGGTCCGGACCATCCTCACCCTATTGACCTTCCGAAAAGTGATGAAGACCTGGCTTTTCTGGCAGGCCTGGGGCCATTAACAGTGGTGGAATTCAATTTTTTTAACAACCGGTTCTGTGGGCGTGGCTTAGTTGGGGGTGTAGCTTGGTGGTCATGCGACTGGGTGGGTGTGGCTAGCTGGTCATGTGACCGGGTGGGCATGGCTAGCTGGTCATGTGACCGGGTGGGCGTGGCTATCTGCATAGGGACTACCCAGAGGGCTGAAAAAAGTGATTTCTGACAGGTTCTCGTACTTTTGACCGGTCTTCGCACTTATGACTGGTCATCATTTATGCCCATTGTAGCATTCTTAACAACCGTGTCACTCATTTCACAACTGCTTCTCTTCACCATGGTGACAAGATAGGGCAAAAACATAAAATGTTAGGACAGTCGTAAGTTCGAGGACTGGTCAAAAGTGCGAGGACCAGTCAAAAATAACTTTTTCAGCCCTCTGAGTAGTCCATATGCATAAAAGGATACAGCAATAGAGAAGGATGAAGGAAGGGAAATTAGAGTAGGAGTGAGGGTAAGAGAGGGAGGAAGAGAGGAGGAGAAGGAGAAAGGAAGAGGAAGTAGGGAGGAGAAGAAGAGGGGGGAAGAGAAAGTAAGAAGGAAAGAAAAGAGAGGGGTGGCAGGTTTGAGGACAAAGATTGCTGTACAATAAAAAAGATGAAAGGGAAGAAAGCCAACCCCAAACAAATATAAAGATATTAAGATAAAGAATGAATTGTTAAACTTTAAAGAATAAAAGAGAAAAAATATGAATAAATAGCAATAATTAGAAACACACTTACAAACATACAATGTATTTTCTTTGAACAGAGTATTTGGCTGGTTCACAAATTTAAACAGTGTTTAGTCATTTCAATTAAATTTACAATTTCTATATTTCCTTTTTGCCATATTTATTCCTCATCTATTTTTTTAAAAAACCAATATTACCCTTCATCCTCATCTCTAATCTTAATCAAATTCAATTTTTCCCTTCTATTCTATATTATATCCCTTCGCATTGTCATCTATTTTTATATCCATCCTCACATTGGTTAATTATGTAATTTTGTAATACAGTTGTTTAATACAAATTCAACATTTTAATATAAACCAATTAGTTATATAACTATCTTTTTTGTATATTAATCAATATGAACATGAATATTCCAATTATTTTCATGCAATCCAATTTCTTACAAATCAATTAATTATATTTACCAATAATAATAAACCAAATAATTTCCCCTATATATTCCTCCAAACCACAACTTAACCATTTCTGCTTTCAACACAATATACAATTAATAGTATCTCAATTATTACAATTCCCTAGTTAAATAGAGCTTTTTTTCTTTTGTCTTTTAAAATCTTGAACTCTCCTCTTTTGCCCTAAATTTCCCATTGTTTGCACCTACCTTTTTTGGTGAGGAGAAAGACAAAGAAAAAGAAAAAGAAAGCTCTCTCCATGCCTCATTTTGTCACATTGCAGCAGAGCTTGCTTTACTTTCATTTTCCTTTTAGCTAGGGAAAAAAAAATCTGCTCGAGCACTCTGCAGCAAGCAAAGAGCTTGCAAAACAAGAGCTTGCAAACGAGCCTGCAAAACAGCTGAGAGCGAATCAGCTGAGAGTCGGAGGCCGATCTAATCATGCTAATTAACCTATGCTGAAACTGAAAAAGGCTGTTTTTTTCTTGCTGTTTGCTTGGTAAGTGCTGTGAGGCACAGGTCAAAGGGGGGACCACCCTCCTTGCCACTTAGCCCCCCTGTTGCCCCCCTTTGCCTCTAGCGTCCCTCTTGCTGCCCCCTTTGCCGTTTACCACCCTCCTAAGGCATCTCACCGCCCCCCAGGGGGCGGTACCGCCCACTTTGGCAACCACTGGCTTAACTACTTAACAACCAGTTCTACCAAAGTAGAATCCCACCACTGGGTCTACCCATTTATATTTGCAGGCGTCGGTCTACTCATTTCTTTTCTTTTAACACTGATCAGCTGTAGGGTGGCTCTTTGAAGCCCCGTGGCAGCTGCGAGGCCAATAAAATTATAAAAAAAACACCGAACCGTTTGTTAAATTGCTGGCTCGCCCACCCCTTGCCCAGTGGTGTGGAGGGGCAGGGCAAGGGGTGGGGCAAGCCAGCAATTTAACAAACGGTTTGGCCGAACCCCCTAGAACCGGCAGAATCCCACCACTGGCCATTGATCTCGCTCTTGCGATCCGGCGAGATCCGGCCATAAATGGTGTGAATGAGTTTTAATGTTTTTAATTTTTAAATGTTTTTATAATGATTTTAAATGCATTGTGAGCCACCCTGAGTCTTCGGAGAGGGGCGGCATACAAATTGAATAAATAAATAAATAAATAAATAAATAAATAAATAAATAAATAAATAAATAAATAATGACTGTAGAGCTAATTCCCATCTTGAGTTGCTGATTTTCCTCAGACTCCATATTAAATTGTAAAATTCTGTATTGGCATGATTCCCAGACTCCGAGGTATCTTAACTTTCAGAAGAAAAATCTGGTAGTTCTATCTGAAGTGTTTCATTGAGGAGAAATAGGTTTGTTACTCCTAAATTTTATAAACTTCTGCTTCCATGTTTGGCAAATCTCCTGTTTGAGACATAATCCCTATTCAGGCATTCAGATCCACAATATACAGAATACATTCGGACACATGCACTGGCTTCTACCTCATTTACTTTCATCTTTTTCAAATTGATGGTGAAAATCTAAAGCACAAGTTCCAGAAATGACAATGCTTATACATCTACCAGTATAAGACATTGACTAGTGAAAATGCTGAAATATGCCCCAAGAAAATCTGATGACTTTGAAAAATGGCATACCATTTTAAAAATAAATTTAAAATGATTTTTTTAAAATCTAAAACCAGTAGGAAAGAGTAGATAATGAGGTGTTTTCAAAGAATTAAACAATCTCTATTGATTTTATTGATTTAATTACAATAACTTAGTGCTACTTAACCTACTGACTAGGCTCTAATGGCTTACAAGCACTAAAATCAACATTCAATGTAAAATCAATCCATTAATATCAATGCAATCATTACCTATGCTGTCACTGCTCTTCCATTCAAATGCCCCATGAAGAAAAACTTTCGAATTCCTAACCATCTTTCTAATTACTGAATGGGAACAGCATCTTGACTTTCTAGAATAAGGTACTCTGAAGTGATGGAGTTGCTACCAAGAAAGCCATCTTTGGGGGTTTTGCCTGCTTGTCTCTTGGTCTCATAGGAAGTGGGCATCCTTTCTGACTAGGTTGTGTCTATTTAGTGCATGCATTTCCAAAAGTATTGGACTAAGAGAAGTGTGCCATCCTCACCCACATCCTGCCAATGACCAATGTGTTTTTGCCCCATGCCTAGGCTTGAGCCCTGACTGAAAGGGATCCAAATAATCTTTATTATGCAGGATTACTTCTAGTTGTAGTCCTTTTTTTTTCATTTCCACTTTGTCTTTGCATCCAAATTTTGATCACTGCTGCAACCACTGCATGGGGCTATTGCAATGATCATAAGTGTAAAAAATGGTCAAAAGTCAGTTTTTCCAGCATCGTAACTTTGAACCGTAACTAAATGAATCATTGTAAGTCAAGGACTAACTGTATTTCTGATAATCATTGGTTTAGTGGAGTGCAGTGAGAAGGACTGCAGTCTTGGATCTATCTCGACCCTGAACATAGTGCCATGAGATGTGTCTATGTGGGGTTTTTAAAACACCCAGTGCTTGTATTGTGCATGGTGATTCTCACACATAATATACCTTTGGGGATTTAAATGATCATACATCACAGCAGGATCACATGAAGTTTTTAAGCTTATGCAAAAACAATGCTCACTGCTTTGAGTAAAAAGACATATAAGATTCTTTACCCACTTAACATACAAATACAAGTTTCTTGGAAAATGGTGTATTTCATCAGATCTACTGTAACTCCCTTCTCAGTATGTTTCAAACCTTTGAATTTCACTTCAACAAATAGCAAAATGAAAGGAAACTACAGCACAGCACTTTTATGAAAAGAAAATAATAACCACAGACTCTTGTCAATTTGTGTTCCTCAACTTTGATAACTCTAAAATGTGGACTTCAGCTTCCAGAATTGTCAAGAGGGCTAGCTGGGGAATTCTGGGAGCTGAAGTACAAACATGTTAAAGCTGTCAAGGTTGAGAAACACTGCTGTAGAGACTGACCACAATACTAATAATACTTTTTTTTTTCAGATTATCATAAATCCTTCCCAAGCCTTTCAATTTCTTCCAAGAGGAAATCAACATCTGATTTTTTGGTTGCTGGATTGGAGAAGACCATTCGGAAAAAGTTCACATTGTCCCCCAAAGGTTGATAGCTAACCATAGTAGTGCCTTCTTCAATCATCCTTGCTTTCATTTTTGGAGCAACCTGGATAGATAGGGCAGAAAACAATACTTAATTCCTGGGATAATGCATTGAAGAGACTAAGGAATAAGTAGTAGCAGCCATTATTTTGGAATGATGGCAGAAATATGATTAAAGTGTATATTTATATCTTATTAAAATATGGTGAACCTTATGCTTATCAACATTGGCATTTTAGAGATGTCTTAATATTGATATTAACATTTTTTCTTTATCTTTAAAGATTTAAACATTCCAGTGTTAATATTCTCTGGTCAATACAGTACAAATAGCACTGTATTCAAGTAATATAATATATTACTTATGCCTTATCATGATTCAATAAAATAAATTAAAGAATGAAAAAAGGATTCAATGGTGTTTCTTTGATTAGAAAAAAAATAAAGTAGAAACAGACTGGAATGAAATGTTGGTATGACACCATGCAGAACAGAAACAGTCAGGTATGTCCATCAAAGGCTAAAGGCAAAACCAGATCTTCTGCCATTGCAGATTGTATCTATTATGCATAGATTAGACTACCCTTCCCCAAATGCTGGATCGCATGATCCTCCATCACTAGCTGTCATACTCAATGGATCTTCAATGGTAAGGATAGTAGGAGTTGTCCTCTAATATATTTAACTTATGTTAAATATATTAGACTTAACTTAGCTCCATAAACACTTGTTCCAATGTAGTGCTTTTCAAACTTGGCAACTTTAATATGTGTGGACGTCAACTCCTAGAATTCCATACCCAGAATGGTTGGCTAGAGCAGAGGTGGGCAACTATGGCCCTTTTATGACTTGTGGACTTCAGTTCCCAGAATTCCTGAGCTAACATGGCTGGCTCAGGAATTCTGGGAGTTGAAGTCCACAAGTCATAAAAGGGCCATAGTTGCCCACCCCTGGGCTAGAGAATTCTGGGAAGCCCACACATATTAAAGTTGCCAAGTTTGGGGGGGGGAAAGACCTGCTCTGATAGAAAATGTACATATGAGTTTTACCTGATGAAGTCTTTTGTCTCTTTCTGGCCCTTTTGGGATATGTCGAAGACTTGGTGGGATATACCAGAAACATACATTGCTGAATTCAGGCTTGAAGATTTTTGTAAAAAAAAAAAAGAGGTAAAATCAAACATTTTTATTTCTGCAACAAATGTTCTACTCTATCAAATAGGCAGGGGAAATTGTAACCTGAAGTCTTATAAACAGAATTAAAATAAATCCACGCTTTAAGCAAAATCCTTACTAATCCTTACTATCAATATGAACCCATGATAAGCCCATGGTTCGCTCTGTTGGCATTTTGTTGTGCCTGATGACATTGCACGAGTTCTTCTCTTTTCCATTTAATGCCCAGCATGAAAAAAACTCATTGGAAACTTCAGCCACTCTACTTCCTTCCTTCTTTCGTTCCTTCAGAATTGCCTCTCCATTAAACACAACTGTTCCTGCCTGTTTAACATAGGGTAAAATATTTTCTACTGCCAACCCAATAAACATCATGAAATAGCTCAGGGGGTCACTTCTCCACTGTGGAGTCAAAATTCATAATGAATTAAGCTAAAACTTGTTTTTATTAAGTTCACTGCAACCTTTAATATTGGCTGAATTTGTTTCTGCATGAACATACATTTTAACTTATTTTATTGAGAATTATCATTGGTTCAGGTGTAGGATATTTCCATGAGACGTTTATTAATATCTACTGAGATAAAATGTGTGAAAACACAGTTTATTTAAATTTCATTAATTATATACGAGTTTCTGAGGCATCTCAATGAATTATTACATGTTTTAAAATTGGTTATTTTCCATTAGTTCAGAAAAAAAATGACGTGTGAAAAACGTTCCATAAATACCAAAAATTTAAGCTGTGGAACCTTTCCAGATCTAACATATTTAGTTTAACTTTTCATAGTCCTTTTTTGATAATTTTACAACTGCTATTTGTGAAGCATTTTTATGTCTTTTGATATTGCACATTTGCTACTCTATTTTTCTCTCCTGGGGCATTATGAAAACTAAGGATTGCCTTTTCTGATGTTCACATATTTATGAAACATTTTACATTTTACACATTAATAGCTCAGGGAAATCTCCGGGGCTTAACATCAAATAAATATGCACCCACATGAATTTGTAAAGAAGTTCTGGAAAATGTAGAATTCTAGCATTAGAATTCTACTCAGTTGAAGCAGAAATGTGAGGTTCATACCCATTTTAAAACATATTTTCATTTAATCTGATTAATTTATTTGGCAGCTACTGAACCTAGGGAAAAAGATGATTCATTGTTCCTAGTCATCGGAAATCTTGATTCACATCCAGAATGTGTAATGCAAAGAATTCACTTGCGTGAAGATTCGTATGCAAAGTTCAGCTAAGGAAAAAGAAAGACTGGGAAAAAAGGATTGGAGGAGTGGAGGTGGAAGAGGAAAAAACACATTTATTCCTTATAATCCAGCCAAGAAAGATTGGAAGACCTTTGTAACTTTCGTGATAATTAACTTAGTGTGCCCATTTATTTATTTTATTTATATCCTACCATTATTGTTTTTACAAATAACTCAAGACAGCAAATACAGGCAATATACCTTCTTCCTCCTATTTTGCCACAATAACAACCCTGTTGCAGGTTGCTGAAAGAGACTGGCCCAAAGTCACCCAGCTGGCTTTCATCGCTAAAGCGGGATTTGAACTCAAGGTCTCCTGCTTTCTAGCTGGTGTCTTAACCACTAGACTAAACTGGCTCTTTTCATCCTTTGTGAGGAAGACTTTTGTGGGATTTGGAAACTATAGCTTAACAAAATAAAGAAGTAATACAGAGACTTCTTGCCGCTGTTAACTCCTAACCTCAGCATCAAAAACCAGCTCATAGTTATTTCTTGTCTTGAGTTCCTTGTAAAGATATTCTGCAAGTTCCAAAAATTCGTTGATAAGAATTTCAAATCCTCCTGTGCCCTGTAAGATACATAAGGCAGAACAAACATGAGTCATTCTATTGTATGCTTCAAGTTTGCAGAGTAAAATGTCAATGATTTATCTGGGGCTAGCAAACAATTAAAATGAGGTCTTCCCACTGTAAAGTAACATAATGGCTATATTGAAATTTCAGAAGCTGCCTTTTCAAGAATACAAAGATTTCTTTGCAGATTTTTATTAGAGCTTCATTAAAAAGAAGTCCAGCAATTTTATTGCTGACTTTTATTGCTGAGACCAGCAATACTGATCAGAATCTATATTCTTCTTCATTCATTCATTCATTCATTCATTCATTCACTCACTCACTCACTCACTCACTCGCTCACTGTCTCATTCACTCACTCACTCACTCATTCATTCAAATGTATTGAAAATGGATATGTGTGTATACGCTAATTAATAGTATTAATTTTATTTGAAAAAAATATTCTCAAGTGATGCAGCTTGCCATAGAATGAACTAAATCTAACATTAAAAACTAAGAAACTGAAAGCAACCGACTTGTTCATATTTGGTAATGAATGTGCTCCTACTTTAGCTCTCCACATTAACCATAGTTTGAAGACATCAACATGTCGGCCACACTGGATTGTCTTGTCTCCGGTGTCATAAACTGTATCATAAACCTTGTCTGGTTGGAAGAGATAGTCAGCACAGAGCTGATTGCAGGCTTGGAGAAGACCCTAGAGGAGATAGATAATGAGAAAAGCTTCTACCAACAATTTTATTTTACATGTTGTTATGATCTGATATCCTTCTAGAAATGAATCGGGACAGGGCTGTGATTCCCACCAAGCCAAATGTATAATATTCATGTATTACAATTGCTCCTCAGTTAATGGCCACTTGTTCAGTGATTAAAGTTGTGATAGTACTGAACAAGTGGTAATTACAGCCAGTCCTCAAAATTCTGGCTGTCACTGCAGCCCTGTGCTCATCATTGGTGCATGATTCAAATGCTTGGAGCAGTCGTAGTATCTCACAGTCATAGGGCTACCTTTTGCAATCTTCCTTGTCAGTTTCCAGCAAGCAAAGTCAACGGGAAAGCCAACAGGGAAAATTGCAAGTCAGTTCCATCACTTTTTTCTTCTAAGGAGTCCCACTTGTATTCCATAGCAAGCTCGTATTGGAGCAAACCCTCCCCAGCTCCACTAAATGTCTCTATTACCTGTATGATTGCTCAAAAGTAAGCTAATTAATTTAGAATAGAATAGAATAGAATAGAATAGAATAGAATAGAATAGAATAGAATAGAATAGAATAGAATAGTTGGAAGGGACCTTGGAGGTCTTCTAATCCAACACCTGCTGCTTAGGCAGCAAACCCTACACCACTTCAGACAAATCCAACATCTTCTTAAAAACTTCCTGTGTTGGAGCATTCACAACTTCTGCAGGCAAGTTGTTCCACTGATTAATTGTTCTAACTGTCAAGAAATTCTCTTTAGTTCTAAGTTGCTTCTATCCTTGATTAGTTTCTACCAATGGTGGGTTGCCCCTGGTTTGGACCGGTTCACAAGAACTGGTAGTAAAACCAGTGGGAGGCTCCATCCACTGACCCCGATGTCATCAAGAAGCTTCTGCGCATGTGCAGAAGCACGGGTGTGCACAGCCCCGTTGCAAACCGGTAGTAAGGGTAAGTAGAATCCACCCCGGTTTCCATCCATTGCTTCTTGATCTACCCTCAGGTGCTTTGGAGAATAGCTTGACTCCCTCTTCTTTGTGGCAGCCCCTGAGATATTGGAACACTGCTCTCATGTCTCCCCTAGTCCTTCTTTTCATTAAACTAGACATACCCAGTTCCTGCAACCGTTCTTCATATGTTTTAGCCTCCCCTAATCAATAATTTCAGTAAAAGTAGCTTCCATATGATACAATGGGAGCCTTGTCTTACAAATCTTTCCTTGTGCAATATTATTTCAACATTATTTAGATAAAAAATCTTATTTTTTATAGCAAAGAAGTAGGCCTACCTGGGCAAAAAAGAAAAACAAATTACCTTTTCATGGACTAAAAAAGCTGAGCACTGTAGCGGAACACCCATCAGTTTGTGAGGATTCCATGTAACAGAGTTGGCTCTAATTAAAGAAGAGAACTTTAATATCTGCAACTGCTTTAATATCTCTGTTAATATCTGCAACTGTATCATTATAGAAACTCAACAAAAAAACAAAAACAAAAAAAGGGATGTTAAATGTGGAACACTTAAAAGAAAAGAATAGAAGTATTTTTTTTTAAGCTGGAAAAAATAAAATTATGTACAGCTCACTGGTCACTCTATGATCCTATGTAAATATATGCATTTACTAGTGATTCGGGCGCCATACAATCACACAAGCTCAGTGAAAAACCACTGTTCACTGTATATAAGTATCAGACTGGAAGTGGTTATTATTATTATTATTTATTACATTTCTATACCGCCCTTCTCCCGAAGGACTCAGGGCAGTGTACAGCCATGATAAAATAATACCAACACAAAAATTAAAAAACAGTTTAAAATAATTTAAAGCATTGGCCGTATTTAAAACGCCTAGGTAAAATCTCTTTAAAACCATTTAAAACCCACTTAAATTAATTCATTTGGTCAGGCCGGCCTGCTGAAACAATAAAGTCTTCAGCGCACGACGGAAGATGCGGAGGTCGGGGATCCTCCTTATGTCTGGGGGCAGCTCATTCCATAGGGCCCCCACAGAGAAGGCTCTCCCCCTAGGGGTCACCAGCCAACATTGTTTGGCCGACGGCACCCTGAGGAGGCCCTCTCTGTGAGAGCGTATCGGGCGGTGGGAGGCATGCGGTGTCAGAAGGCGGTCCTGTAAGTATCCTGGTCCTAAGCCATGGAGCGCTTTGAAAATGGTGACTAGCACCTTGAAACCCACCCGGAAGACCACTGGGAGCCAGTGCAGCTTGCGCAAGAGAGGTGTTACATGGGAGCGACAAGTTGCCCCCATAACCTCTCGCGCGGCCGCGTTCTGGACCAGTTGGAGCCTCCGGGTGCTCCTCAAGGGGAGCCCCATGTAGAGAGCGTTACAGTAGTCCAGATGGGAAGTGACAAGGGTGTGAGTGACCATGCATAAGGCGTCCCGATCCAGAAAGGGACGCAACTGGGAAATCAGGCGAACCTGATAAAAAGCCCCACTGGCCACAGCTGTCATATGATCATCTAAAGACAGCCGCGTATCCAGGAGGACGCCCAAGTTGCAAACCCTCTCTGAGGGGGGTAAGATCTCATCCCAATAGCCAGCGATGGTACCAGCTGGCTATATCAGGGCACAGGAAACCACAGCCACTCAGTCTTGGAGGGGTTGAGTTTGAGCCTGTTTCTCCCCATCCAGATCCACATGGCCTCCAGGCATCGGGACATCATGTCAAGAGCATCATTGGGGTGGTCCGGGGTAGAAATGTACAATGGTGTGTCGTCGGCATACAGTTGACATTTCACCCCAAAACCACGGATGATCTCACCCAGCGGCTTCACATATATGTTGAACAGGAGGGGTGAGAGGACTGACCCTTGCGGCACCCCACAAGTAAGGTGCCTCGAGGTCGACCTCTGCCCCCCCCCCCGTCAACACAGACTGCGTACGGTCGGAGAGAAAGGAGAACCACCACAACACGGTGCCTCCCACTCCCAATCCCCCCAACTGACGCAGCATGATACCATGATTGATGGTATCAAAAGCCGCTGAGAGATCTAGGAGGACCAGGACTGAGGAGCATCCCCTGTCCCGAGCCCTCCAGAGATCATTAACCAGAACCGGTTCGGTGACGTCATATCATCACAGCTACCAGCTCGGCCGAACTGGACCGAACTGGGAGGAACCCACCACTGAACCAATGCGATCAATGCCGTTTCCGTACTGTAACCCGTCCTGAATCCCGACTGGCATGGATCTAGATAGACAGCTTCATCCAGGTATTGAGGAAGCTGTCGTGTCACCACACTCTTCGCAACCTTCGCTGCGAAGTGGAGGTTGGAGACCAGATGGTAATTAGCTAATATAGCCGGGTCCAGGGAGGGCTTCTTGAGGAGGGGCCTCACTACCGCTTCTTTCAAAGCAACTGGGAAGACACCCTCCCTCAAAGAAGCATTAATAATCCCCTGAAACCAGCCTCGTGTAACCTCCAGGGAGGCCAGCACCAACCAGGAGGGACACGGGTCCAATAAACAGGTGGTAGCGTTGAGTCGCCCCAAAATCCTGTCCACGTCATCAGGAGCCACAGGGTCAAACTCCTCCCAGAAACACTCTCAAGATCCGCCCCATCATCCCATCCGAGGCTACCCAATCGGAGTCCAGGCCATCCCGAATCTGAGCAATTTTATCATGCAGATTGATGGATTAAGGGAAGACCCCACCCTCCATGTGCATCCTGCTTCCTTCTTCCCCATCTTTTTAATTGTAATTGTAATATACAGTAATACTGTTATTCAAATTTCTAGGTTCTACCATATCGCAAGATCTAAAATGGACAGCTAACGTCAAAAACATCATCAAAGAAGCACAACAAAGAATGTTCTTTCTGCGCCAACTCAGAAAGTTCAAACTGCCCAGGGAGCTGCTGATACAGTTCTACAGAGGAATTATTGAGTCTGTCATCTGCACCTCTATAACAATCTGGTTTGGTTCTGCAACCCAACAAGACAGATATAGACTTCAGAGGATAATTAGAACTGCAGAAAAAACAATTGCTACCAACCTGCCTTCCATTGAGGACCTGTATACTACACGAGTCAAAAGAGGGCTGTGAAAATATTTACAGACCCCTCACATCCTGGACATAAACTGTTTCAACTCCTACCCTCAAAACGACACTATAAAGCACTGTACACCAAAACAACTAGACACAAGGACAGTTTTTTCCCAAACGCCATCACTCTGATAAACAAATAATTCCCTCAACATTGTCAAACTATTTACTAAATCTGCCCTACTATTAATTTTCTCATCGTTCCCACCACCCATCTCCTTCCACTTATGACTGTATGACTGTAACCTTGTTGCTTGCATCCTTACTATTTATATTGATATTGTTTCCTGATTACTTATTTGTACCCTATGACTATCATTAAGTGTTGTACCTTATGATTCTTGATGAACGTATCTTTTCTTTTATGTACACTGTGAACATATGCACCAAGACAAATTACTTGTGTGTCCAATCACACTTGACCAATAAAAAAATTCTATTCTATTCTATTCTATTCTATTCTATTCTATTCTATTCTATTCTATTCTATTCTATTCTATGCTATGCTATGCTATTCTATTCTATTCTATTCTATTCTATTATTCTAATATTAGGAATATTTATTGTTCATGATTTTATTGTCGTTTAATGTTTGTAAGCTATCCAGAGTCACTTTAAGGTGGCATAGGTGGCAAACATATCTAATAAAAACAAACAAACAAACAATATATATTTATAGATAAGCTTGTATTTTTAGTTCCTGATTATTACCGGTTCTTTTACTTGGTATGTGAAATGAGGGAAGCTTTCTCACATTCAGTTTAACTGCAAGTGTGAATGAGTTTGTTTAGGGGGAAATTATATCCTTTGTGGATCAGTTGAACTGGGTCTATTAATGCTTTTCTATTTTCACAACATATACTGTATCTCTTCCTCCTTCAACTGATGTGCAGGTTGTAGGAATAGGATCTATATTTTTTCTCCCTGCTTCTCATAACACAACTCACTTTGGTTGTTCATGAGTCATTATCATTGTAATTATATTCTTTATCTTCTCTTCAGGGAGAGGTTAGAAACAAACCAACAAAAATAATATATTAATCTCATTGCTGTACAAATAAATTACATCACAAGATGCTTACCGTTCAATGCCGCTCAATTTATGGGAATGCTTTCTTGACAATAGTAAACCACCTCCCCATGATGCCTATTGAAATTAAACACACAGTTGTCTAAATGAAAAGATTCCACCTTTTATCACATTTTGCCAGCCATACTTTCTACAGTTGCATTTCAAAAATATAAGAGAAAAGAGAATCTAAATCCCAAAATGAGAAAACAGAGAAAAGATTGATTGTCTGATTTTATAAATCTTTTGCTTTTTACTAAGCAGAATACCGAATAGTTCTTTCTGTTCTGTTATAGTCTGGTAGAGGAGCAGCGCTTGAATGGAAATAATGGTGTTTTAAAAGGGATTAAAAATAAAAGTTATTGTATTAGTATTAGTTATATACTTCAATAGTGGAAGGAAAAACAAGAATATCCAATTTTGGAGAATCAATGATACCAAGTGTGAAGGAATAGATTAGGGATAGTGATAGTGATAGGGAGAATAGAATAGAATAGAATAGAATAGAATAGAATAGAATAGAATAGAATAGAACAGGACAGGACCTTTTTTTTTTTTTAAATTTGATTTATATGTCGCCCTTCTCCGGAGACTCAGGGTGGCTTACAATGTGCTCAGCAATAGCCTTCATCCTTTTGTATATTTATACAAAGTCAGCTTATTGCCCCCACAACTGGGTCCTCAATTTACCTACCTTAGAAAGGATGGAAGGCTGAATCAACCTTGAACCTTGGCGAGATTCGAACCTGCAGTAATTGCAGGCAGCTGGTCTTAATAACCAGCTTAATAACAGGGTGCCTTAGACCACTGTACTACCAAGGCTCTTTTTTTTTAGAGAGACCTTAGAGGTCTTCTAGTCCAGCCCCCTGCAGGAGACTCTATACCATTTCAAGTCTCTTCTTAAAAGCTTCCAGTGATGAAGCGCCCACGATTTCTGAAGGCAATGTGAATATACATCTTACAATTTAAACATGAAATTGACTAATTATAAAATATTATTTCATGTTTATTGGACACTAAAGAATGATCATTAGATTTTTTTTTTTTAATGTGGGCATTGTAAAAGATTTAAAGGTTTCTTAATTCATATGATCTGGTCTTTCCAATTGTAGCCTTGTTTTGGTATTAAATCACTACATATGTCAAAACACATAGGAAAGGAAGTTATAGTTAAGGAACCATGGAATGTTTAATTATATTTCTAAAATATGAACTTTGTCATCTCATGAGCAGCTTTGGCTCTTTTGGGGCAACTGGAAAGAAACTTACCCTCTGATATTAATGACAGTACATAGTACATTTGTTATCTAATGATAAATTTAAGGATTAAATTAATTTTATATTGTTACTGCAGTTATTGTGTAGATCCTTTTTCTGTTTTTCTTTTTGTCACTTCCAGTATATACTAATCACCATTTTATTTATTTATTTATATCCCAGCTTTATTATTTTTACAGATAACTCTGGCTTAAGGTTACCCAGCTGACTTTTGTGCTAAGGAGAACCCTTGGTCTCCCAGGTTCTAACCTGGACCTTAACCACTAGACCAGGGATATCAAACTCAAGGCCCGAGGGCTGGATCCAACCTGCAGGGTGCTAGATCTGGCCCATGGGGCCACCCTAGAAACAGTGAAGGGCTGGCCTGTGGTGCCTCTGTCAGCAAAAATGGAGCTCGGGAGGGCCACGTGCAGCCCTTCTGAGCTCCATTTTCGCTGGCGGAGTGCTTGGCCACCACAGGTGCCCCTGACATGAGTGATGTTGAGCTGGCCATGCCCCCCCAGGCCACACCCACCTGCCCCCCCCCAAGGTCAAACACAACCCTGATGCTGCCCTCAATGAAATCGAGTTTGACACCCCTGCACTAGACCAAACTGGATATAATAGTATACTAATATGGTGGTACATATGACTTCAGTTTTCTACTTGTACCCATTATTGAAAAAATTGTGTTTAAAACATTTTAAGTTAAAGTAAGCTTTTTTAAGTTTAAATAAAGTACTGTTTGAGAGCTGGCTTGATATAGTAGGTAAAGCATCAAGCTCAAAATCAAGAGTCTATAGGTTCTAATCCTTCGGCATAAAGTTGTCTGGGTGACATTGAGTCTTTTAGCTTCTGCAGTCCAGGCAGTTGCCAGGACTCAACACGAAGTACTGTTTTAAAATGTGTCATATTATGTACTGAATAATATGAATTAGTCATAGGAAGGAAATTACTGAAGTCAAATAACAATCTCCTGCAACATCCCATTAGTTATATTCTGGCTCAGGGTGTTATTCTGATATAACCAAGATTTTCTTCTTACCTATGTTTACCTTAAATGAATAATCTTAAGGGTGGCAATGACCTTTCTCTCCCTGAAAGCCAGTAACATCTTTCATGGTTTTCTCTGCTCATCATATGCAATTATAAATCAATTTTTATAAATAAACCAATTCACTGACTTCTAAATTGTCTTAATAACTGTTATTTATACACATGTCTTTGTGCGTGTGTACATTTATTGGGGCTGTATAACTCTATCAAATAGGTTTTATACAATCTGAAAAGAAAATAGAGTTTGCAATATCCACAGAAACAAACAACCTCTCTTCAAATCATTAAAGCCATCCAGAGTCATTTTGGAGGGTAAGATGGGTGGCATATAAATTTAATCAATCAATACATGTATTTTTTTTCTAGGCTCATAAAGCTGATTTGTAAACTGCGTCAAGCTGGCTTTGCATAGTGAGGAACCTGGGCCTGCACATTTGTGAGGGGACAGCTGGCAGCAGCTTATAGACCAGTCCACTTCTGTCTCATCACTAGTTTGTTGCAGCATTGAGTGTGAAAAAAAGAGATCTTACGTCCACATGCATCCAAAGATTGTATTTTTCACAAATGTCAGCAATATTGACAAGAGGATCAAAAGCTCCATAGACTGTTGTCCCAGCTGTGGCACTAACATACAGTGGTATTTTTCCCTGAAAAAGAATACAGCAACATACATTAAAGCACATGTAATTTGTCCTCTGTCATAATCATTATTATAATTAAAACATCTTTCTGTTTTGGATGGTGTAGCTAGGTACTGCATATTTAGGACATTTTAGCTCAGAAGAGATTATTATTATTATTATTATTATTATTATTATTATTATTATTATTATTATTATTATTATTTAGACTTCTATACTGCTTCATACTACTTTGCAGCCCTCTCTAAGCGGTTTACAAAGTTAGCATATAGCATATTGCATATTAATATATTGGATTAGCATTAGCATATTGCCCCCAACAATCTGGTTCCTCATTTTACCCACCTCGGAAGGATGGAAGACTGAGTCAACCTTGAGCCGGTGAGATTTGATCTGCTGATCTGCTGAACTAGCAGTCAGCTGAAGTAGCTGCAGTACTGCACTCTAACCACTGCGCCACCTCGGCTCTCTCAATTCATGTATGTAACAACTTGTGTGCTTTAAACTTTGATAACTTTAAACACCTTCCTTATTAGCTACTAGATTATAAATATTGCATTAATAAAAATGTGCCAATAAAAAATAATATAAAATGCCTTCTTTCAACTGAACAAAACATATCTTGTAACACCCTCAAGCTAAGACTGACTTGTGAGAACTTCATGGTAATATTGACAACAATATGAAGTGACTTGTCACTGGTGCTTTCTGGGATGATTCTCAACCTAACATTTCCCTTCCAAGTACAACTTTGTTTAAGTCCTGTTTACCTTCTAAGTCCATTATTAAAGTATGACTGAGTTTCATAGACATTATTAGAAAATTAAAAAATGGTGAGTCGGTGCATCGTAAAAGATTTTTATGAGAATATACCAACAAGAATCTTGGGTCATAGGACACATCTGAAGCACTTGAAAAAATAAATCAATAGTAAAAGACTGGTCCACTACAGTAATCATTTTGTGGACAAATACCCATCCTGTTTCCTTTGCAAGCATTAGACAATCCATTCTAAGATGTCGAAATTGTAAACATGTCCATTGACTGAAAAGACCGCCTATCCATTTTAGCCATAGTCTCATGAGTTTAATTAAATGGGTATCATCTTGGAATTGAGAAGGGGAAATGCATTTTCACAACAGCAGTGAATGCACATAGCTCAAGGCAAGGTTGGCCCGTTCCATTCTTAGACTTCTAACTTGATTTGGAGGTTGCAGAGATTTCATTGACCTACTAAATAACTTCATCAGGAAGAGATTTTGGAAGATTTGTAGGTTGGTAAAGATTATGTATCCTTCTGTTTTGCCTGCTTTCTTAGATGGGATGTGGATAGGTGTTTTGTAGAGACTGAAGCCTGGTTGATTCTTAAGGTACTGTTCTTTTTCTTTGATTGCTGCATTGTAACATGTTTTATTATTAGATTGATGAGGAGATGTCTCGTCTAATCTATCCAGCTACTGGTGGATTAATCTGTGATGGTTGACTGTTGTTGCATGTTGACCTGATGTATTGTCTTTTGATACATCTATAGAGAGGATTTAATCTACATTAGTTTTTTGCTAACTGTCTGCAAGTTTGCCCTATACACCTATGTAGTATTCACAGTATTTGAATTTTATTTTGTATATGACTCCTGTTTTGTCTCTCCTTAGTCTTTGGTCTTTCAGTTTGTTTAATATATTCTTCAAAAACTTTGTTGGTTTATTTACCATGATTATTTTAAATTTGATTAAAATAAATTTGAGATAGGAGCAGGTTATAATTTTTATGATTTGTAACATTTGTGTTTTTGTTGGTTGGCTTGACCTTTTGTTGGTTAGCTTGACCTTTTGGTGAAAATGTATAGCTATTTAGTGTATTAAAACTGTCATGTAAGTAGTTTACTTCTTTATGTGATTCTAACGTGTTGCAGTGTGTCATGGCTCATTTTAATATGCAGTATTGTTATGTGCTATTTGGATGAGATGATTGTAGTTGGAGATTTGGTCGGTGGATTGTTTTCTGGAAGATATATGTTTGTAATATGCTGTATTTTTGTATAATTAGGATGTCTATAAGGGTTAATTTGTTGTTTTCTGTTTCTGTGAATTTGATTCCCTTGTAAGTATGGTTGATTATATATTTTCTAACTATTTATTTTTTATTTTATATGCCGCCCTTCTCCGGAGACTCAGGGTGGCTTACAATGCGTTAAGCAATAGCCTTCATACTTTTGTATATTTATACAAAGTCAGCTTATTGCCCCCACAAACTGGGTCCTCAATTTACCTACCTTAGAAAGGATGGAAGGCTGAGTCAACCTTGAGCCTGGTGAGATTTGAACATGCAGTAAATTGCAGGCAGCTGAATGTTATTAGTCTGCTGCGCCATCAGGCTCTTATTAATTTTTATTTTGACAAAGATGTCATCTATGTAGTGGAGTCAGATTGTTATGTGTTTAACATAACAACAGCATACAATCTAAGCATTGGTAGTGAAACAGAATTTGAACAAATGCTTTGGAGACAGTAAAAATATAGTAAAACAGAGTAACCAGCTAAAGTTTGAAAATGTTTTTTTTAAAAAACTGGTATTAAAATTATTGGAGCCAGTTGTACCTCTCCAACACTATAGGTGAGCTTATTATACAAGGTGGCCAAAGATACTATTTCTATATACCAACCTCCTTCCCTACTGCTTTTCTATTATAAATCTTTGCGGCCTGTCCAATGCCAGCATTTTCTAATATAAGAAGTACCCAAAGAACGATTTTCCTTATGATATCTTCCTCTGGGGTGTAACTGAACTGTGAGGAAGTAGAAAATTCTTATGGTCCTTTTAAACCACCCTCTCATGAACCTGTTGTTTTTGGTGATGGATGTCTATGCTAGAAACAAAGCTGAGCAATGGATTGTTGTTTCTATTAGTATCTGCTCATTTGTCTGTCTTTTCCCTTTTGGAAAAAAAGAAAGAAAGAAAGAAAACTTTTCTACATATTTCTAGATATCCCACTCAAGTCAAATTGCCATTAGCATGATAATTCAAAATTATAAAATAAATTATGTTCCAGAGGAATAGTCACGTAAGTGCAGACTGAAAGATTTTACAGGTTGCTTGGACATGAATCTTTGAAGGGAAGTAGCCTACTTTATCAAATTAATAAATATGCCACTCAAATACAATAAGAAAACAAACAAACAAACCTGTCTCTTGACTTTGATAATATTTTCCTCCAGTTCGGATGGAATCATTTTCCCTCTGTTTAAATGTTTTAAAAAGTGAAATGTAGATTTGATAAAGATGGCATGCTCAAATTTTCCAAACGTGTAAAAAAACCTTTTTTTTTTGCAAGCAAAACAATTCACAGATATGTATTTCTGAACAAATCCCCATGACAATCAAGAATCCATGCAATCATTCTCAAAATGGACCCACCTACATACACAAAAAAACCATACAGTAAAGTGAAGAAGAAAGGATAGAGCTTGTAGGTCTAATTCTTCCATTGTTCATTTTCTTCATGATACATGATAAACTTCCTCAGTACTGTAAAACAATATTTTCATTAAAAATCCATTTGTAGAGAGAGGCTACATTAATAATTATGTGGGAACCTGCACAAGCAGAGGCATCTACCAATAGACAATCACCTTTGAATATGCAGAAAACCGTGAGAATAGGAAATAAAGACACAATAGAAGTCATAAAGCCATGAAAATCTCCTTTTTCCCTCTTCAAGGAATGTTCAAGGATATCAATGAAGTCCTTATCCTTTTTTCCCTCTCAGAAAACAAAATAAAATAATAAAATAAAATCTGTTTACTGCTTGGATTTACAGTAGAAGTTGGGGGGGGATGTCATTTATTGTTTTAAATCGTACTAATATTCTTTGTTAAAGCATCATTCGTTTTCTAATGGACTCATTCATTCTATGCATAGATGTTCTTGATATCCTTATACATAAAGCCATTTTTATTTTCTGTGACAACTAACTTCAGCAGCTACATTTTGATGACACCGATGGGGACAATAGACCCAGTTTGAGCTGATATATTATTTATGATAAATTAATTGATACATTTTACAAGAATCCCTTGACTTCATGGCAGATCTGTACAATGCTGGAGGAAAAATTGCTGCTCTGGGAAAAGTACCTGTTTCTCATTGTTTGTGAAATGCTCCAAGGAAGTAGAAATTATTGTCAAATAACTGACAACTAAGTCATTTGCTCAGGGAGATTTAACCTACTGGGAGGGGAGGGGAGGGGTGCATTTTGTGAAAATAATGAAGCCGGAAGATGAAAATGCATCTCTATCAAAGAACATTAGAGGAAGTGAATTGTACATACTGATATTATGCAGGAAAACTTTGAGAACCTTACCTTTCATCACATTTGATAGCAATAACATTATCCATCCCAATTCCCACAACTGCTGCTGCCTTTTTTATAGAATAGTGACTCTGAAATAATTTAGAGCAGAAATCATCAAATAGGGGAGAAAAAAAAAGACTTCACAAAATGCATTAGAGATAAACAATTTTATAACTGCTCTTTTTCTTAAGAAAAATGAAACACGGTAACATTGAGTTTAAAACCATGACTGGTCTGCTAACATCAGTGGGACTACAGTTCAGTTTTAACAATCCTTATAATTGTACCTGGGAGCAAACCCCATTGAATCAAATTAGAGGAACCTGTGAATAGGTGTGTATAAATAAGAAACAAATTAAGACTTAATAGTGATGATATTAGAGGAGGCAGCAGATGACTTTCCAAATTCTCAATACTGTTTGTAGGGTCATCAAGGAATTAAATACTTCTAAGGAGAAAAGATTTCAAAGTATTTTTGAGAGTCAATTAGCAATAGCCATAATACAATTTACTTCTTTTTGGGGTTTGTTACTGATGCAAGTGCTTTTTCTCAGTACTGTTAATTTAATATAATTGTGGGGCATTATGCAGAAAAATAGCAACTACCATAAACAATTTGAATCTGTTTTGAGAAAGTTACCTTCTTAGCATAGGGAGAGTGAAAAAAATAACAACAAAATAAGCTAAATTATTTCTATGAAAGTTTACCTCATAAGTGAAATTACCAACTGAGTGTGCCTTGTCTAAACTATGGCCAAAATATCACCATAATATAATCTATGATACAGTACAGTTGTGATCCACGTGGAAAATATAATCAAAGTTCATAATTCTTTGATTTACAGTTTATTAATTTATAACTGTTTAAGCTAGTCATCTTCCTTAAATTGTGACAAAGTGAGTCACATTTTATGCACTTTGGAATTTGTGTTAGGCAAATCTTTCACATCTGATGTTCTCTAGATATGGGGGTTCTGTTTTCCAGTTCTGCCAATTATATCTTTAATACATAATAATAATACTTCTAGAATAATAGCCAGGAGTTCAATTCTCACTGGCTCAAAGTGGACTCATCCTTCCATCCTTCCGAGGTTGATAAAATGAGGATCCAGATTGTTAGGGCTGTAAAGCACTGTGAAGCGGTATATAAGTCTATTGCTATTGCTATTATAACACACCTAGAGCCAGTTGCCATATTGAAATTAGCAACATTAGGTTGACACAAAATCGTATTGTGTCAGCAACATGGAGCAGGGATGACTGCAACTATAATAATTGTTTCTAGGCTAAGATTCATGTATTAGATACCAGTCATTGACTGTTGTGGCTCCGATCACCGAGCCTGTGTTATGAGCAGGAGAGGACTCCAAGAGTGAAGGAGAGGAGTTGGCAAGGCCTCCCTCTCCAGGACCCTCCTCTCTGGCAATGCCTCCGGTGTCCTCCGAAGGCCAAGAGATAGGCCCAGGGCCAAGCACTTCCACACAGCTGCAGGTGGACAGTAATGATGATGATGATGAGTCTTTGCTGGACCCTCGACAGCATCGCAGAGATAAGTACGCGCAGCAGAGGAAGAGGCGTGCCAGGGATTAGGCTGAGTCACTGGACCACACCCCACAGGGTATAAAAGGGGGTGTGGTGGCCGTTCAAGCTCTCTGACGAGCAAAAACTGATATTGAACAAACCTCTCTGCATTGCTGGACTTTTTGAATATTCTCTTATCTGTTGTGTGTTGGCTTTGAAAAACACTCCCTTCGTAAGTAAAAGACTCTTGGCAGCCAGCCACTGGGTTTCTGCCAATTCTGCTCTTAGAGAAACCTTTGTCGGCTGGTTTATTTCACTATTGACTGTCTGTGGGGGTGCATGTGTGAGACGGGGACAGAACATTGACTTTGCTCTGGGTTTTGCACAACTCTTGTAGTGGTCATGACAATATTTCCTCACTTTTATAACTAGCCATGAATTATACATTAAAAATTCATTTTCCTCCCTTTTGACAAGGTAACTTTCTTTGTGGTAAGTAATCAATTGCTAAAATCAGGGTGAGTGGAATTGAGAGATGGTGAATACCAGTCCTTTGAGGTAGGTAAAGTCAGAAAAAAAGATTCATTAAGAGTCTTGAAATGTACTTTAATGTGTTTGGTATTGTAACAGAATTTTGGAAGCCTATTAAAGCCCTCCTCTATTCCAACATATAATTAATATAATGAAAGTGGACTTGCTTTGAGTTTCTTTCTCATGGTTTCTACTTTCCCAGGACTCAGATATCTTTTCTGTACTGGCTCTACATTCTTGTGGCATTCCATCACACAGAGTTCATTCAACAATCATGTATTAGTAAGATAATTGCAGTCTGCCACAGTCAAACAACTTTATAGAACTGTGATTGCACACATAAATACTCACATGTTCAGAAATAAATAATATGATCTCTGGAAGGGCTGCCATGCCTTTGGTTTTAATCTCAGGGTAGTATTTATAGCGAGCAACTAAAACACTGTAGAGGTTTGATATGCTTCCCCCTGGTAAAAAATTAGATTTCATTACCATTTGAATAGCTGAGTGTCATTGGGAATTAACGCTTCATCTCATCATTTCAAGTCAAACAGACAAATTTCAGATACCAAAGGCAGATTAATTTAAGTTATTTCATGTAGTGAATATGGATCATCCACACAGGTAATGTTCTCAATTGCAATTTTCTAGAGGCAGCTTATTTCCATTCAAGACATTTTTCAATGCCAAGGAAGGTCTAGGTAGAAAAGCCATGAAAAGCTTGCTATGTAAGTAAAACTAACCTGATTACATTCTCATCCACTAGGATACAACATAATTTATTAGTGTTAAAAATGATGTTGCATTGATTCCAACATGCTGAATTCTACAACCTTCTACGATACTCAGATGGCATATCATTGTTTCAATCTGGTATGGTCCATCTTCATCATTCAGTGAAAATCATTATTATCTCTCATCCACTGGTGATTTGCAGCATCGTTATAAAGCTTTGGGTGCCACAAAAATAATTGAGAACAGAGAGTAGAACAGGATGACTAAGTATGACTTTTTTCTTGGTAGGTTCTTATTACAACACATCCAATGCAATGATTTTGCCATTTCTGTATTCATTTTAAGGAAGGAGGAAAGTATTGAGCAGCAATACTCAGCAAGGCTGAGATTGCTGTCTTCAAATCTGTGGTAATATAGATAATGCCAGGAACCAGGATTTTGCTTCCCTCCCTCTACTGAAGTCGTACCCCATTATCCTCCCATAGCTTTTCTTCTCCTGAGGAATTAAAAGCAATTGCTTCTTATTGTCTTCTCAGTATGAAGATGCCACCTATTTCCACATAGAAAGAGTAAGGAAAAGGTAGCCATCTCACTGGAAACAGAGGGGAAGGACCTCCACAGGTTGGATGTAGAGGCCTTGCAGGACAGACCATTATGTGCAGATCAAAGTTTCTTTTCTCTGCTTTATAGTGACATCACATGTTTGTGTGTACACAGGAAGAAAGGGGAAGATATATTATCCTTATGTATGTATAATGTACCGTTATTATTTTTATAAATAACTCAAGAGGGCAATCATACTAATACTCTCTCCTCCTCCTATTTCCCCACAACCAGAAACCTGTGAAGTGAATTAGGCTAAGAGAGAGAGTGGCTGGCCCAAAGTCATTCAGCCACCTTATATCCCTAGGAAGAGACTAGAACTCACTATTTGAAATGTCAACAACCTACACTGGTTCCATAATTTGAATAACACTGAACATTTTTAATCTACTTACCTGGAGAAAATATGCCATCTGAGTCCCTTTCTTCCCATCCAATAATTTCCTGCATTTTCTTCAGCAGGATCTCCTCCATTATGATGAATACTGGTGCTATTTCATATGTAAACCTGTTAAAATATTTTAATGTAATCAACATAACACAGTCAGCAAACACAGAAACTGAAAAAAATCCAAATTGCTTGACAAAGATAAAAGCAAGGCAGTGATGCAGAATTCCATCTGGTTCATTTAGAAAAGATCCATTCACAGAATCCAGTAGCTATACATACAAATAAAACTATAGAAACATAGACTGATGTATGCATGCATTTTATCCCTAAGGCTCACCTAGAAACTAACAGAATATCACATGGGATATGTACCTTGGGCTAGTCCTTCATCATTTTAGCCAATGTCTATCCACTGCAGGACAAAGGCCTCTTCTGCATATTTCCAACCTATGCGGTCCTGAGCCTTCTTTTGCCAATTGGGCCCGCAATTTTTATTTATTTATTTGTTTGTTTGTTTGTTTGTTTGTTTGTTTGTTTGTTTGTTTGTTTATTTATTTATTTATTTATTGGTTCGATTTATATGCCGCCCTTCTCCGGAGACTCAGGGTGGCTTACAATGCGTTAAGCAATAGCCTTCATACTTTTGTATATACATGCTTAGTAGGGCTTCCCCCCCCCAAGCGGTGTTCTTTTTATACAAAGTCAGCTTATTGCCCCCACAATCCGGGTCCTCATTTTACCTGGAAGGATGGAAGGCTGAGTCAACCTTGAGCCTGGTGAGATTTGAACTTGCAGTAATTGCAGGCAGCTGGCAGCTAAGTGCTACTTAACAGCACTTTAGTCCGCTGCGCCACCAAGGCTCTTGGTGTACTTGCAAGTACTTATGACTTGCAAGTACTTATGACTATTTATGTGCAGCTAAACTTAGAATAACCTTTGAAAAATTCCTAGAGTCACCCCTACTTTTTTCAAGTGCTTTTCTTATTATCCATTTGCCATATTCTAACTAATCGCTAAGCATGGTTCAGTGTTATCTGAAATATTAAGGAAATTATATCCAACTATTTTTGAATTACTAATTATAATATCCTATTTTTTTCTCATGTTATTTTATATTGTACTATAATCTGATGAACCTTTCTGGTATATATTACACTTGAATGTGAATGTTTAAGGCTTTTAAATTAGATTTTAATTTAAATCTAATTTAATTAGATTTTTAAAGACAGTGACGTGTATGTGTGAGCCTTTGGTGATATGTAGACACTAGTTGCGGTTAGGTAATTTATACTAACTTGTATTTAATTGTGTTTGGGTGTTCCCTTATTAAAATAGGCCAATAATAAATAGAAAAGCATCTATAAAGTCAGTCTTCTTTAACTAAGCTAGTTCCTAACCTGGATTTACAAAACTCCATCATTCCCTATTGGCATAATCTCAGCTCACTGAGGGTGATGGGGTGGGGTGGGATGTAAGCCACAATTCAAAGATAGAGGCAGAAAAGCAGCAGGGCCAAACAGGTTTTGAGGCCAAATCCAATAAGATTTCCTTTTTCTTTAGAACAAAAGGCTTTTATCTGCCTGATTTGTCCTCTGTTATTTTCATAGTTTATGATTCCCAGATTTTAAATGTTTTTAGTCACAGTTTTATCAGCATTTTACAATTATTATACGTCGCATTTTAATGATTTTAAACCAATATCAATCCACTCTTGAATGTCTTAGACATACTATAAAAAAGGATGGAATGAACCATTCTTATAGAGTTATAGATTCCATAAATAGCATTTATCAACTATAGAAGTCTTTCCTATTTTCATTCCTTAAATACCACTGTACCAAAAGTAAGTCCAGAATGCAGAGGCCAGAAAGATGCAGGGTGGTCTCCCCAAAATATGTTCCATTAGTAAAGTTCTGAAATGTTGTGGTACTCCATAAAATCCAGACATAGTATTTCTAGAAGTGCGGACAAATACCTTATGTGAATGAATGACTTGAAAGTGAATACCTAACGATTTTTCAATTTGTTTTAACCACCAGACTAGAATTCACAATCAACTTCAGATTTGGTAGGATGTTCACATACACCTGGTCACACCAACCAGCAGCCATTCTCTCTGTTTACTATGAGAGTACCAGATACATTTGATATAAAAGCATGGTCATAGACCCATACAAGTAAGAACTCTTATCAGGAAAAATGTGATGGCCATTCTGTTTCATTTTTTTTTTTTTACGGTTATAAGATTCCCATTACTTCTGCCTCTCCATTTTGTACCTCTCTGTAATATTGATTGAACCCTTCTATAGTGCATTTTTACATTTTTGTCTGAGCCGTTCTAAAACTCTCTCAATAAAATATCAATGTAACAAAATATGCAGAAGGGAAACTTGTGTCCTAGAACCCTGATGGCGAACCTATAGCTCGCGTGCCAGAGGTGCTCACGCACAGTCCTCTCTGTGGGTACCTGTGCCGTCACCAGCTACTCTTCTGGTTTCCAGTGTGCACATGCACGCTGGCCAGCTGGTCTTCACAGGTGCTGGAGCACCGGAAAACAGCCTGAAAAATGCCCAAAAACCGGGCTGCTTTCGGGCTGGTTTTTGGGCCAAAAACAGCCCAAAAAACAGCCTGAGAACAGCCCCCCAAACAGCCAAAAAACAGGAATGTGCGTGCCAGCCAGCTGGTCTTCAGGATTCCGGAACTCCGGCACGCACACATGCACGTGCATGCATGCACACTCCGGTTTGGGCACTCGGTGCCGAAAAGGTTCGCCATCACCATCCTAGAATCACCTTCTTCCTACCACTTTGGAATGAGAGAACTTTATTTCTATTTCATGTTGCTTTATGTACCACATGAAGTAACTTGCTAGGATGGGCAGGCATATAAATTGAATAAATCAATACATACAAGTTGTGTTTGCCCATTCTAACTTTTCTATATTGAAACTTACATTTCCAGGAGCATGTCCTTGTAAGAAAAGGAACTGTAAGAAACTTCCTAATAGAAAATGTATATAAAATATGAACAGTAGTACAAACTGTTTTCACATCCATACGAAATGAATGAGTTGGAGTTATAGTCGCATATTGTAGACCTTAAGGTTTTAGGTTCCTGGGCAACTAAGAGTTAAAAGATGTTATTGTATACACTAATTTTAAATATCAAACAGGCTGCACATAAATCAGACTGTTTAGCAATGAAAAAGGACCTTTTTCAAAGCTTTTGAAGAGTTGAACTGATGCCATCTTGTATCATAAATAGCTCTCTTTATTCCATCCAAATTATTAGATACTTAACCCAGAACGGAAAAATGATTACATTTGCTGACATTTTGTATAATTTACCATGACTGTTAATTCTCTTTGTATCTGAAGTTCTTAATAACCTTCCTACTGACTCCTGTGATTTTTTTCCAACAGTTTTTTTTTTTCTTCACATTTCTTGCACAATAGCCATCTTGTTAAAATTTTACCATGGAGATGAATTCTGATGCTCAAAATGTTAAACATGTGACTGAAGTATGAGCAAAAGTATTTCAATTTTTCTGTGTTGAGTAGAAGGATCACCCTCTCCTATATCCTCTAAGCCCTATTAATATTGCTAGGTGAACTACTTGAGCATTAAAGTTTGTTTTCAACAACAAATGCCAAATTATTTTTGTTTCTCTTGAATAAAGAAAAAAATGGTGGAGAAGCTACAGGTAATCCTTAATTTACGATAGTTCATTTAGTGACCATTCAAAGCTACAATGGCACTGAAAATGTGACTGTTTTTCAGTTACAACTTCTGCAGCATCTCCATGATCATGTGATGAAAATTCAGATGCTTGGTTAATATTTATGACCACTGCTGTGTCTCAAGGTCTTGTGAACCACTTTTGAGACCTTCTGACAAGCCAAGTCAATAGGGAAGCCAGATTCACTTAACAGCCATGTTACTAACTTAACAACTGCAGTGATTCAAGTAACAACTGTGGCAAGAAAGATTGTAACATGGGGCAAAACTCACTTAACAAATGTTAACAGAAATTTTGAGTTTAATTGTAGTCATAAGTTGAGGACTATGTGTACTACTAAGGAGACTACAAAACTGTCAGCATTCATAGGGCTTTCCTTCTGGATCAACAGAAAAAAGAACTTTTCAAAGAACTAAACAATGTCAACATACTACTTCTAAGAAGTACCATATTTTACGGAGTATAAGACTCATGTTTTCCCCCCTAAAAGAGGCTGAAAATTTGGGTGCGTCTTATACTCCGAATGTAGAAGTTTTTTGAAACTTTTTTTCAGCCCTAACAAGGCACTAGTGAGTGAAGCATGCTTTGTCTGATACCTCTGACTCTCAGCTGTGCTTTAGAAGCTTTTTTTCAGCCCTAACAAGGTGCTAGGAAATGAAGCGATCTCCGTGCTTTGCCTACTTTTCTCATTGCTGCTCCCTCTTCAGCTGTGCTTTAGAAGCTGTTTTTTAGTCCTAATGAGGCCCTAGCGAGTGAAGCGATCTTCCGACCTTCACCTGCTTTTCTCATTGCTTCTCTTCAAAGATCAGCTGTGCTTTAGAAGCTGTTTTTTTATCCCCAAGCAGGAGATAAAAAGTGCACACGCGTGCTCAAAACCAGCAAACTAATGTGCTGAAGTTGCCCAGACTAAGGACACTAGCCAGATGAATATTTGGTAGGCAGATTTTTTTTCCTATTTTCCTCCCCAAAAACTAAGTTGTGTCTTATACTCTGGTGCATTTTATACTCCGAAAAATATCGTAATTTTTATTTGTACTTATTACTTATTGCACATGATCCAACCAGTCAATTAGACACAATGTATCAAGGATTCATCATTTAAAATTTCAATCTTATATTAATCCTATATAAAACTGAGATTACAGTACATACATGTTTGTATTTGCAGTAGCTGTCAACCATTCTCCAACAAGTCCTATAATGTCAAGGCCACTGGAAAGTTGGTTGAAATAACGGGGATGTCCTTAAATATACAAATGTTAGAAATACATCATTTTAAGACACTCTTAATATTGCAATAAAGCAGCCACAGGTAGTTGGAAGATAATATAAAAAAGTGTTTTGCCCACGTGCCTAGGTTGTTTTATATGTAAAAAGAGTTCACATTTTTATGGGACTATAATATCCCTCAAAACATTCATGGCACAGCAGTGAACAAAGAACAAAAATCTCTTCAAAAATCTGCATTACAAAAGACATTTCTGAGAGATGCATCCAAGAAAGAGTAGTGTCAAAAATTATACAGTCCATGAAAGTATGTGCTGTGGAGATTTATATTTTAGATGTCTGCATCAGAAAAGTTTAAAATCATAAAATCTAGCATCAGGAAAGGCAAAAGACCCTCTCCCCCACAAAATTATAATCTCTATAGAGAATTAGCATTTGCAGACATTTGTTAATGCATGAAAAGTAATGGAATTAGCTTAGCTAGTAAAATCCTCAGAACCTGCTTGGTCAGGGTGGAACAAGGCAATTGTGTGCACAAGATACCTGAGGGCCACAAAATTAGGGAACAGATGATTATACTGAAATAAATATATATTATTAGTTACCTGTTTTAACACCATATTTCAAGGTGTCCCTGCAGTCTACAAGAATTTGCTCCAGAGGTTCAGGGTGATCAGAGAGTTCCAAATTGAAGCCTTCTAGCCCTTCCAGAAGCTGATGTGGATGGTGGAAATCAAGCACTTTGCTCTTTCTGTCAACGGCCTTTTTGATATAACTGAAGATAATATCGACTACTTCATGAAGAAAATGTTTGGTGCATTCCTCACCATTCCAAGCTGGCAACAAATCTAAGGAAACAGCCCCCAATATAAAATAACATGATGGAACTGAAACAAAGAATTGCCACACAGTTGGAGGATTCTTTCATAATTGTACTTCTCCAACTGGATAGAAAGAACAAAGTTCTCCTAGTTCTTTCACTTGTTTCTAAGGCACTTTTCCAAATAGACCCATTAAATTAAAAATGTTAAGCCATTTCCTGAGAATCATAGGCCAAAAGATCTGATAAACAGACAATTTTACTGAGAGTGATACCCTACACCAGTAGTGGGTTGCAAATCCCATCACTACCAGTTCCTCATGGACGTGTGCATGCTCACACGTGCGCACAATGCTTATGCGCATGCACAGAAGGATCTGGCTGGGTGGGCAGAGCCTCCTGCCACTGCCACTACCAATTTGCCCAATCCGGGGTGAACCGATAGCAACCCACCACTGCCCTACAGAGATTAAGAAAATAAGTAAACTAGTCAAGCAAAAGTTTATTCTCTTTAGAAAAAAACAAAGCCATTGAAATTTCCCTATACATGTTAACATGTATCCTTTCAAACACAGAAATTGAAAAATTGAAAAAGGCACAAATTGAAAAACTTATCTTTAAATAAATGTTAGTATTACCTGACCCATATATGTTTGAAAAATTTGTTTCAAAGTTTTGAAAAGCAGATTTTTTTTCTTTCTCTTCACATTCTCCATGGAAAGTAGAAATATGTTTGGATTTTTGTCGGTGAGGTTCTGAATGGGCCGGCCCATCTGGGAAAGTAACACAAGAATAATCATCTTTTTAAAAGTTATCATACCAATGTTTGAGTAGCAGGTAGAAGATCTTAGATGATTAACTGTCACACCTAAAGGTTATAACAACTGCCCTAAAAGGTAGCCTCAAACAGGAATACAGAATTTTAGGAGCAAAAATAAAATAACTGATGTATTTGTCATCTTCTTCCTCTGACATTTTTATATGCTTTGGTACGTGGTCTTAAAAGGTTGATAGCTTTGATTATATTCTAATGATCAGTCTTCTAGAGTTGGAGCATGTGACTCCCTTTTCATCTCCAGCATTTTATTTTCTTTCTTTGGTTTATCATTTCAACTATTTTTTTTTTATCTTCAGCCGTAAATGTGATTCGTAGACTTGAATATGCTGTATTTACAATTTTCATGTCCATTATGAGATTAGGTCCATGGACAGAGAGAACAGAGCAAGGTATGCTGGTCCCACGTTTCTCCTGCTCAGCCTTATTATTATGTACAACTTGGTTTCAGAAGACTCTGGCTAACAGAGAGACCATAGTGTTCTGACCTAGGCTCCCTGAGACAGTAAAAAGCACACAATTAGTCCTCAAAAACCTCTTTTTATTTCAATGGCTGTGAATTATTGTTCATTCACAGCCCGTAATGAGTCACAAAGAGTTGGTAAAGAGCCCGACAGAAGTCTGGCCACAGTCCTTTGGGATAAGGCTAATAAGTACCCACCTTTATCTCCCTTGACCCACTGCCAAAGACCCAATTGGCAATTAGCTTTGCAAGGCCACACGGAGCACAGAGTCAAAACGGAGCTTCAGAATTTAAACTGAACAGAACGAACAACGTTGCTTCCTGCAAAGGCTCACATGCCTTTGCTCCTCCTTTATGTCTTATGGGAGGGGCCAATCATCTTCAAGCCTTACTCCCGAATCGTCCCTTTTGTTTTAACTGTTCTTGCCTTCTGGCAGCTCTGCGCATGCGCACACTGGGAACAGGCTCCCCCTGTTCCTCTGCCTTGCTGATGTCTGACTCTGGAGGCTCCAGAGTCAGTATATAACTCCCATATGGCCCTGGCCCCATCTCTGCCTCTGATGCAGAGCCCTCATCCGAGCCTTCCCCAGACTCCAGGACTGGCCCAGGTTCCTCCCCAGCCTCCTCACTGTCCAACTCTGCTGCCAGCTCCGCAGGTCACTGGCAGACCACAACACATAGCCCCTCTACAGAGTTCTATGTCAAATAGCAGTGATGGCTAACCTTTCCTGAACCAAATGGCCAAAGCACGTGCACGTGTGTGCAAATGCAAGCATGTGCACCTAAACCCCCAAAATGCAATGTGTGTGTGGCCCCAGTGCATGCGCCCCACCCCCCACCCCATGCGCAAGCAGCTCCCCACACGCACCCACCCCGTGCATGTGTGCACTCCCCACACATGCCCCGCCCCCGCCCCCTGCACATGCACCACACCCCCACACACCCCATGCATGCGCATGCAGCCCCACACATCCCATTCCATGCATGTGTGCACCCCCCACACATGCCCCACACTCCACACATGCATGCATGGTCCCCTGCACATACCCCACCCTTGCATATGTGCGGCAGAGACCCAAAGACCAGCTGGCTGGCATGAGGCGTGTGTGCATGCACAGTGGAGCTGAACTGAGATGACGGCTTGCATGCCATCAGGGTCATATAGGAAACTTGCAGTCTATTGGAGTAAGCAGCCATAATAAATTTAATGTAAATAAATAAATAGTGAACATCAGGACCAGGTTCTCTATACATCACAGGAAAAATGAATATCCTAAAAGAGTTATTGCCTTTATTTCTGGTTTCTGATTTCCTTACATTTTGATTCTTTTTTTCCTGTCTTGGTTTCTGTAGGTTCAAAGTAAGCCTATAAATCAATTAGTTCCTGAAATATTAGTTATTCATATGTAATTGTATTTTTTTAAGCTTGAACATAAACTTGTGGGTAGATTACATACATTCCTGTTCATAAACCTATGTGCACTTCAGGAGTTTTCTGAGTAATCTCTTATTTGTTGATGTGTATGACTTCCAGTCAGAATTCAGCCAACTGATGTCCCCACTACAGTGAATTATAATTATTTAATTAAAACACCCAAGGGGTGAAATCCAGCAGATTCTGGAGAACCGGTAGCAGAAATTTTGAGCAGTTCAGAGAACCGGCAAATACAACCTCTGGCTGGCCCCAGAGTGGGGTGGGAATGGAGATTTTGTAATATCCTTCCCAGGGGTGGGTTCTAAAAATTTTTACTACTGGTTCTGTGGGCATGGCTTATTTTGTGGGCATGGCTTGGTGGGGGGTGGGTAATGTGACTGGGTGGGTATGGCCAACTTTTTTTTTTTACTTTTAAAAGCATTTTTTCTACAAGCTTAAGAGGTTGCAGAAAAAAATGCTTTTAGAAGCCTCTGACGATTAGGCAACTCAGCTGGGATCACCAGAGGCTTTTAAAGGCATTTTTCCCTACAATCTCTTTGGCAGAAGAGGCTGTAGAAAAGAATGCTTTTAAAAGCCTCTGACGATCCCAGCTGAGCCGGGCGATCATCAGAGGCTTTTTTTTTTTTACTTTTAAAAGCATTTTTTTGGCCGAAGAGGTTGGAGAAAAAATGCTTTTAAAAGTTAAAAAAAAAAGCCTCTGATAAGGTGGGCAGGGTAAGTGAGTGGCGACCAGGCCGGGGACTGGTTCAGGGATGTGGCCAGCCAATGTTATTACCGGTTCTCCGAACTACTACAAATTTTTACTACCGGTTCTTGCTAACCAGTGCGAACCAGGAAAAATCCATCACTGATCCTTCCCCTGGAGTGGGGTGGGAATGGAGATTTTGCAGTATCGTTCCCCTCCCACGCCCACCAAGCCACACCCACCAAGCCAGACCACGCCCACCAAGCAATACCCACAGAATCAGTAGTAAAAAAATTTGGATTTCACCACTGAAACATCCTTAACTGAAGGATTTAACTTTTACATTTACAGTTTCCAAATAAATATAGTCATTTCTAGGTTACTCTATTCTTCATAACACCTTTACCTAACATATAGCTATACCAGTGATGGCTAACCTTTTTGCCATCGCGTGCCAGGAGGCTGGTTGCATGTGTGCATGCCCACATCCATAATTCTATCTGCTCGGCCCCTGTGCATGTGCGTGCGACCCCCCATTCCCTCCCGCTGCTGTCACAGGATGGCCCGGCAGGCCCATTTTTCTCTCTCATCAGGCTCCAGAACTTTGATAGGAGTCTGGGGAGGGTGAAAACGGCCTTCCCCACCCACCCCCCCGGAGGCCCTCCAGAGGCCAGAAACGGCCCATTTGCAAACTTCCGGTCAGACCGGAAGGCCCATTTTTTTTGCTGTCTGCAGGCTCCAGAGCCTTTCTAGAAGTTTGGGGAGGGTGAAAATAGCCTTCCCCACCACCCCCCGAGGCCCTCCAGAGGCAGGAAACAGCTTGTTTCCCTACTTCTGGTGGGCCCAAAAGGTCTGAAAATCAGGTGGCCGGCACGCACATGCGCGCCAGAACTAAACTCACATGTCCACGATATGGCTATGCGTGCCACCTGTGGCACGCATCCATAGGTTCACCATCACGGAGCTATACTGTATTGAAAATCATAAGAATTGTTAAATCTTCATCATGTACTCGTACAAATCCACACACCTCTAACTGCATGTGTGAAAGAGATTTAATCTTCTTCTCTTTGGTCTGATGTTACTGAAAATAATAACCACTCATAGCACAGGTGCAAAACATAGAAAATGCCCTGGTTTCTTTAATTTGAAAGAGCATTGGTAAAGCATTGGTAAAGGTATTTGATTTGAGCTGAATTTCAGCTTAAAAATCAATCAATGAGACTTTGGTGGGCCCCTTTTTCTAGCACTTTCAGCAGCTAGATATAATGCCAATGATGATTTGGAAAGAAATAAACATTGACAGAGGTGATATTCTGCCCATCTTTATTATTATATGGCTATGCTTCAGTCTGAAACAATATTTGCTTTTTAAACAATTATTTGAAGAAAACATATTCAGTGTGACTGCAAATGTTTAATATGCCAATTTATTTTGTGACACAGAATACCATATTTAATATGCACAAAGGAAAACCAACTTAAATATCAGATTTCCTAAATGTAAGTACAGTCTTATAGAATTTCATCTCATGAAATTCTTATGCTTTGGTAGACTGAAACCTCTGCCAAATTCTCAGTGTTCAGAGGAAATTTTAATTTGATTAAAGATAAACTGAAAAAAATAAAGAACAAATCATTATATTGTGGAGGTGTAAACCCCACAATATGACAAAGATTAAAATGATGTCACCATGCAAGCACTAAATTGCATAAGTGTTCTGGGTTTATGGCATTCAAAGAAAAGACTAAGCATGTCTTGTCTGCTTTCCTTTGTTCTATATTTCCACCTTTTCTTTTCAGTGTTTAAAATAATCACAGGACCAAACCCCAATTAACTGTTTTCATTCCCCAAATTATATAATCAAATCCACCACCAACAAAACACAATGCTTTCTTTAGAACGTGTGAGATTTTTTTTTTTAATGGGTGGGGGAAATGGTGAGGCACACAAAGCAAGACAAAGACCAGTCCTACCTTAGTATTTTGACATCCAAGCCTATTATTTTAAAATGTTCCTACTTCCTTCTCCTTGCATGCCTTAAACATTCTTGCAGTTTTAAAGACCTATCAAATATTTCCCACGCATTTGTGTGCAATCTATGGCTTTGCTTATCCTACCTCATTTTACTTTGTTCCTATGCTCATTCTCTGCTATGAGCATAGGAACACCTGCTACTTCCTTAATTATTCTTGCAGGTTTCCAATGATGCCACTACAGTAGAAATTTTGGTCTCTGTGCTCTACCTTCACTATTTTCCTTTCAAAATGATGCATTCGCAACTATCTGCATTTCCTATTTGATCCAGCATGATTCATCCATCAGTTCTGAAGTGCCAGAATGCATCACCTGACTATTTGCCCTTCTACAGAAATCAAGGTGGACACAATGTCTGCCAATGTTTTCTTACTTTACCTCAGAACTAGTGTTTTTCACTTTCTCATAGAAGAAGGGATGACAACTGGTTTGTCTACTACGTTTCACTGAGTATAAACAATGGACTAGTATGTGTTGTTGAAGAAACATACCACCTCTTCCTTTTTGCTCCGATGCACAACCATTTTATTTGGGCTTGAACTAAATGCGCTGCTCAGAAGGAATAATACACGCTATCTAAAATTCAAATTCTTGTATTTTCCCAAGTTTGGGTCCATAACCTTTCCTGCAGGGATTGTTGTACTAGCGTTCCACTTGTATGGTGTTGTCTTCTGGTTTATCTGTCTTTACTTTCTAGTTATGGTCTTGAGTGTTATGTCATCTGAGTACCAACTGATTGGTACATCTTCCAAGAGCTGTGATTCCCCTTACTAATACTTTAGTAAGGAGAATCCTGAGGAATCCTGAAAAGTACCACATTGTGATCATCTTGGATCCAAAGTATTTAAGGGTCTTCTTAGTTTCCTTAATTGTACCTAGAAGCAAATCATAGGTTTTATAGTCATGCATTTTCCTGCATTAGTGTCAGCCTTCCCAGGTAGAGTAGACAGGAAAGTTGAACTGATAAGCTACTACTACAGTCATGTTGGGAACAACAAAGCACATCTGGGTTGAAAGGATAGAACAGTGACACCACCGTTGTCCAGGAGATGCCCAGTTGGGGATCATTTCATATCACCATTAAATTGCCCACCAACGTGGTACCTATCTATCTGCTCGCAGTCATCCAATTTTAGACTGCTGGATTGTCAGGAGATGGAGCATGTGTCAGGAGCTGACTCTATCTTGTGCCATCAACCAGGTCTTGAACATAGGCCTGCCAATTCATCAGCCCAGAATCCTAACCACTGTGAGCCACTGTGCTCCTTTTCTAATGAGCTAATTCTACTTATTGTAGAACAGAACCATTAACAGAACCTTTCAAATCTGGAAGTACAAATCTTCAGCCTGATAGATTAGGTAGGACACTTTCTGAATTCCTTTCTCTGTCCACTATGCAGCTGTGGGAACAGCCTCCCATCTGATCATTCTCTATGAAGCGTGTGTCCCCCTGCCCCAAATTTCCCAAGACCATTCCCACGTATCATTACATCTAGAGACCCAGATTGGAATAGTGGTTAAGGCTCCTGTGTAGAAACCAAAAGACTAGTTTTAGTCCTGCCTTAGGCATAAGTGCATCTTGAACTAGCCATTCCTAACCATCATCCCTAAGAGGCAGGCAAGGGGAAACCAGTTCTGGAAAACTTTGCCCAGAAAACTGCAGGGACTTTTTCAAGCAAACCAGGTGTCAGGTGTCAGTACTGACTTGAAGGTACAAAACAAACAAGCAGACAAAACCCTACAAAAACACACCTTCCTTCATTACTTCTAAGAGCACATCAGTTTCTTACTAGCTTACAGTACATCTGCACCACCATATTGCAACAATGAATCTACTGGCAAATGAAAACCGCAAATGGTTGCTTGGAAAAGTGAAATTATCATCTGAAAAACAAAAACAGAATACTGTTTTCCTTTTTAATCAAAAGCACATGCCCAAGATTCAGAATAAAGCAGGTGAAAAAGTCATGTGAAAAGTGAAGTTATGAAGTTCCATCATGAGATTCTAAACATACTTAAGCTTCAAGAAGGTTTCTTTGGTTATTTTTTTAAAAATAAACTAATGTATTTGAATTTTTTTTTAAAAAAAAAATCTCTTCTAACTCCCCAGGAAAGAAAAGAAAAAGGGTTTTAAGATTTAAGTATTTCTTTTCCAGCACACATTTTTTTTCCATAAAACCCACACATGTATTACATGGGTCGTTTTGAGATGCCCACAGAAATACAAGCTTTACCTGCAAGAACTTTTTCTTCCCTTCTTACAGGTATTTTCCCATAGAGATCTTCCAACTGTCATCCATCTCAAAACTATCATCCATCTCCCCCATTCCCAAGATCTTGATCAGTTGCAGAGCAAACTAAAGCTGTTTTCTATTTTTGGAACTCTGGAAGAGCTAGGATATTTTTGGAAGGATGGGGGTAGATGATGAGACAATAATACCTTTAGACTTACTTGTTGTATGGGTAATCATCTGGAAATCCATCTGCTTTCCTCTGAATTATCATGCACCACTGAGTAATATCCACAATACTAAAAACAAAAAAGACAAGAAAAAATTGTAGCAATAGAACTGAACATAAGTGTTCACAAATGTACGTCTTGCTGAACTTATTTATTTTATTACGGAGCACATAGTTTTATATTTCTAGACTGCTCAGTGCTTCTGGGCGTTCCACTACATGATTGGAAAATGGGTGGAGACAAAAGTTTCAGATTTAATTTATAAGGATCTTTTTTTTTTAAAGAGACATTGTTGATTTTATGACTATAGCCATTTGTTCATTCTTATTCAAGTTCAGCAAACTGAACAAGAACTGATAGGAAAAAATACATAGCCATTTATTTGACTTGCTCTTCTTTTTCCCTATCTTCCTTGAACAAACTTTTTCATGAAAAGAAGTTTTTATGAAAAGAGGTTTTTGAAAAGAATGTGCTGTTGGCTGAATCAGGAAGAAAAAAAAAGACCGTTCCATGAAATATCTTGCAATCTTCAGGACATACACAAAGCAGGACGTATCTAAAGATAAAAAGGACAATCTGTGTTTGTTATTTGGAATGACTACCTCTTTGTCCTTTAAGAAATAGCTGATGGGAAACAAAAAAGTACAGGAAAACACCTATGGAAGTACTTTGCACTGTGCACAATGGTTTTTCTTTTGTTGTTGTTGGTTGCTAAGTCATGTCCCACAGCTCTATTTATTTCTTCTTTGGGGTGGAATGAAATAATGTTATGCCAAAATCTACTTTTAAGTTTCTCAAAACTTTTTTTCCTCTTCCAGAAATCTGGTTGTTATTCCAGCAGATAACTCTATTTTAGCTCTTCTATCCTCTTCATTTTTTTTTTAAAAAAGTAATGTTATTAAATATTACAATTAAAAAGATAAAACTAGTGGTTAAGGCATCAGTCTAGAAACCAGGAGATCATCTCTATCTATTGGATCTATCTCTGTCTATTGGATAGTATCTCTATCTATTGGACCATCCCTATCTATTGGACCTGATGGATTATGTGCATACTTTTTAAAACAGCTTTCCACTGAAATTGCAGAACCTCTAAGCATAATTTTTGAAAAATCTTTCAGTACCAGCTCCTTGCCCTACCAATGGTCACAAGCCACGGTCATCCCTATCTTCAAAAAGGGAGATCCTAGCCTAGTTGAAAATTACAAACCAATCTCTTTATGTTGTGTCACCTGCAAAGTCATGGAATCAATCATTAACCAATCTATTACACTCCACCTAGAGACAAACAACCTACTCTCCAACAAACAATTTGGTTTCAGAAAAAAATTATCCTGTAATCTACAACTACTACATTGCAAAAACATATGGACTACACATCTCGATCAGGGCAAAGCAATAGATGCAATTTACATAGACTTCTGTAAAGCTTTTGATTCAGTGGTACATGACAAATTACTTTTAAAACTAAAATCCTATGGCATTTCTTGACTCCTACATAAACGGATGGCTGCCTTCCTGTCAAACAGACAACAAGTGTCAAAATAGGAAGTGCTCTATCAAATCCTGTACCTGTTAATAGTGGTGTTCCCCAAGGCAGTGTTTTAGGTCCAACACTCTTCATACTTTATATAAATGTCCTTTGTGATCATATTAAACTGTTTTCTCTTCGCTGATGATGTTAAACTATTCAACACCACCGACAATGCAACTACCCTTCAAAAAGACCTGATAAACGAACTCAGTTAGTATGGTAGAGAAGAAAATGTATCTATTTTAACCTTGATTAAGTAAACCACCTTTAAATTCTGTCCTTATTTTAACAATCTTGATCTTTAATTTGATCAAATAATGTCCTAGAACTTCATTTCTTTCCATTTTATCTGTGCCTCTTCTTATAAAATTCTTCAAAATTTTAACAAGTGTCTTATAAATCCACTATAAGGAAATTATCCAGGTCACTCTTTCAACTTAACCCTTTTAATTATTAAGACATGAGTCAATTTCATTTGTACATCCAGTGTAGCATCTTTTTACTTATCATTCCTGTAATCTGTTATATCACTTTCCGATCAGTCTCAGTCTATCCTCTTCATCTTTGAAATAAAAATTTATTTTTATTTCAAGTTTATTCTCCTCAAATAATATGTAAGTTTATTCTCCTCAAGAAATAAGACACTTTTTCCTGGGTGTCCCAATATTTTTTACTTTTTAGATAAGAATCTAAGTAAGTAGCCATTTCTTCAGAATATAGTGTTCTATCAAACAGGATGTGTATGATGTCTTCAATAACTGGTACACCACATTCTTTCTTTGAATGCATTAATGCAAAAGACTGACAAGATGACTATGCAATGATACAGGATATCACATATACACTTGTTCACCTCGCAGCTAAATTAGTGAAGGAATAGCAGATGCCACACTAGATAAACTTATCCTGTTTCTCTGAAATTCATTTTGAAAGCAAATTCTGTCCCATAAATTGAGTCAGGATGACTCATGCATACCTTGCATGCTTTTTGAATCATTACATTAATAGAATGAATAAACTAATTATTCCTCAAGTATTTTTTTAAAAAATAATTAATATACTATTAATGAAGGTGATAGTAATGAATATGTTTAAATTTTAGACTGAGATTTGAACAAAGAATACATCATTTAGCTCAGCTAATAGTTATTAAAAGATTTTATGTCTGGATTGCTGGTTTCTCATTTTTTTTGGACAGAACTGAATATTGGCACATTGGCTAAATCATTTCCTCATTTCCTGTAGCATTCCAGATTCTGTTCTTCGTACAGTCTTCAACCCTGGCATAAATTTCTAGAATACTATATGAGATATGGCTTTACAAAGGTTGATAAATGACAGCTCCCAGCACCTTCATGACTAGCTGTTCTGTTCAGAGAGCATACCAGTTCTCTGCCAAACACTAAGCATTTATTATAGCTCTTTGTGAAACAACAGTAAATATAACATGCTACGTTCAAAGTATAAAAGATTAGCAATAAATTAATAATAATTTTCATTTTCCCCAGTGAAGCTTAAATTATATGTGTTCTGCTCACTGAGTCTTATTTTCTAAAACTAATAAAACAGTTATATACCGAGTAACAAAACTTATTTACTCCAAAGTAAATCCCATTTAGTCTAATGGGACTTACTCTCTCTTAAATATGCAGACAAATATGATAACATATTCCTTTTTATTCACACCACTGAAGTATTTTCAATAGACTAGGTAATTTCTCACATCTTTCATTTATGGACAAAAATAATTCGCTATGTAATCTTATGTGATTTCTTTTATGGTGGGAGATTATTTATTGTAGATATTTTTATTACTGTTGTTTGTATGTTTCTCTGCTGACCCATAAGTCACATCAGCTTTCTTCCTCTGGTGAAAATGGGAATAATTGATCAATTCTTAGCTGCAAATCTTTTAATACTAAAATTCTGTCATGGGTGAGTAAGAGGAGATCAGGTGTAATTGTAATTTTTGTTGTCAAGAGATTGTTGTGGCAATAATCTTTCATGCTAGTGGGGAAGATCAAGCATCTTTTGAAAATTAAACAGCAAAGCAAACAAATAACAACATTAAATAAGATGTGACTGTTATTTATAATGCCATCAGTTTTGTGGTTTACCAAGAAAAAAAGTAACATCAGATTTTAAACCTGGGGATGACACGTCTGGTCCAAAGAATTTTCTGAAATAGAAAATTGAAATATTACTAATTAAAAAAATCTTACCACCAACACTAATTTATTTCCTTTAATTAGTAAACCCAATCGTGCTGCCTTGAGTGGGGTGTTTTATCTTGGCTATTAACTAGGGCTACGTTTGGAAAATCTAAATCATGAAATAACATCTAGGCAAATGTCTTTTGTCACAATTCTGTTTCTCTTTTGGTTTAGCATGTACTATATAGTACTTGAAATACCTACCAAACCTTGGTGACAACATAATTTATCAGACTTAATTTCCCATATTATGATTTCAATTCCAACTTGATTGTTTGCCAAATTCTGTACTTGAATACACTTGGTGAGATTATTGTTTTGTGGCCAGCAGGAATTACACATGAGAAGAAACAGAGCCACATATTTGGATCCAGTTCACATTTATTTATTTTACCTCACATTCTGTTCCTCATGTCCTCTCAGGTCCTGTCCTCATTGCAGTGAACATTTCCAATGATGTTGAGTAGACACTGATTCTTCAGCACTGCTTGACCCATAAAAAGCAGAAGATGTAAATAAAGAGTTAAGAATGTATTTTGTGCCTTCTCTTTATCTAACCGCCTGTTTGTTCTTTGTCTAAGAGAGAGTTAATCTGAAATCCCTTTTGGCTTTCTTCCCAGGCTCACATGCACAGAGCACATATTCTTTCGCTCCTCTGATAGAAAGCATCTAGCCAGGTACTACAACTTACCTATCCCTAAAATATAAGTCCTGTAAATAAATCTCATTTCTGTTATAGTTTAAAAACTTACTTCACTAATCATTGTGCAAGTCAGATTCTGCGTCTTGGGAACACATACATGCACACACAGAATCCTTCAGCCTCCCACAGTGCTGGTTTCCTAGGTTTCTTATCAAGGACAGTATAACCACTATCCCACAGTGAATTTCAGATCTTTGTTGAATACCTACTGTAAACTTGCTTCTTTATCCAATTTGGGAGGTCATTTGGCTTCGCGTGGAGATCACTTTGTACCATCATGTCATGTAAACGCTGTTTTTTTTTCTCCTTTTAATCCTACTTATGAATTCTATATATAATGAGCTTTATAGGGTTTTAAATGTTTTGCTGACAGTCTGTTTAATTGATTTAAGAAACCAATTTAAATATTACATCTAAGTTTTATAAATAAATACATCTGCCTTAGTCTAGTACAGACTTTTAGAGGTCACATCAGGGGTGAAATCCAGCAGGTTCTTACAGGTTCTGAAGAACTGGTAGCGGAAATTTTGAGCAGTTCGGAGAACTGGTAGCAGAAATTTTGAGTAGTTTGGAGAACCGTCAAATACCACCTCTGGCTGGCCCCAGAGTGGGGTGGGAATGGAGATTTTGCAATATCCTTCCCCCAGGACTGGGGAGGAATGGGGATTTTGCAGTATCCTTCCCCTGGAGTGATGTGGGAATGGAGATTTTGTAGTATCCTTCCCCTGGAGTGGGGTGGGAATGTAGATTTTG